CTAATGGCGGCGAACAGGGACCCGGAGCCAAATAAACCCAGCTGCGGGAAGCACTACGTCAGGGTCAGACCCTGACGCTCGTCGCCCCATCATTGGCCCCGAGGCCGCCGGTGGCGCAGCCAATGGGCGGCCGCCTCTTTCCAGATGCAAGGGGAGGGCCGCGGCAGCGTGACGTCACCGGAGAGCTTGCGGATTGTGAGGCCGCGGCCCAACCGCCCTCACCTGCGGAGGACTCTCCCCTGCCGAGATAAAGTGGAAGATACCTTAGGGCCAACACCTTAGGGCTGTGGGCTTCCCGGCTTCTGCTCAGTTTTGGTTTCACCGATTTTTTTTTCCGGTACCAGGAATTGAACCTACAACCGTCACAATGAGCTACATAACTTTTGTTTTTAACCCCCCCTTTTTTTATTTTTAGAGTCTTGATGAGGCTCTAAATTGCTCAGGATGGACTCCAATTTACCATCCTCCTGCCTCAGCCTCCCAGAATTTTGAGACAAGCCCAAGTCCCGTGTCTCAGAAGTGAACTGCTTGGTAACTTAGATGCTTCTTCGTGGTTCCTTAAGCAGTATTAAGATTTTGACAAGACATCAAGAAAAATGTCTAGCTGTTTTATGATAATTTGATTTGCTTTTAATCTGTTTTACATTGTCTGTTGCTTACTTCCTCCTTCGCGGTGACTACCTATTTATATGTGTGTGTATATGTTTGTTACCTCTCTTTAGTAAACATACACGTTCATGATGAGAAGCAATGAAGACCTCACTTCTCTCTGCCCACTACTTCCAGGCGCTCATCTTGGGTGAACACAAATTTCTTATGGTTACAATTTCTGTAACTTTGAGGTAAGCTTTACTTTCAGATAAAAGGTACGTTACAGCCTTGGAAGAAATAACTACTGTGAGAATCCCCAAAGTTAACTGTTTAAAAAAAAAAAACAGCATTTTCCGAGGGCATTTAGCAGTTGGACACCTCAGATTCAACAGGAAGACTATATGTTCTTCAGTGTAATCAGATTTTTAAAATTTGGCTGGGACCTTGTTTAGTGAAACTATTCGTGACAGGCTAAGTTTTTAAGTGCGTAAATATGGTACAGGGTGTGCATACAGCTTCATTATGACCAACAAAATAATACTTTATATAGCCTCCCCACACCAACAGGGTTTTTCACAACCATTGGCATATATTAGCTTCAAAGTCATTGCTGTGATAGATTTTCAACTTTCCCCATTTTTATAGAGAAATATTTGTTTAAGGACTTCTGTCAATAAATTGAATTTAACCCAAAAAGTTCTTTTGCCAACAAAACACATTCTCAAACATAATTAACACAACTGTAGATAAATTTTTTTAATCATTTAGGAAAAATCGTATTTCTGGCATTTAACTTTGAAATTATTTTCCTTAAGATATTTTGAGGGCTGGGGATTTAGCTCAGTTGGCAAGTGCAAGGTCCCAAGTTCCATCCCCAGTACCAAAAAAAACCTTTTGAATAAACCGGATGCAATGGCACATGGTAATCCCCGATGTACGGGAAACTGAAGTAGGTGAATGGTAAATTCAAGACCAGCATAGGCAACTTAGTGAGACCCTGTCTCAAAATAGAAAATAAAAAGGTTCCTCCTCCACGTTAGAACATTTGCTATAGTTTAATTCAAAGTACCACCAGAGAGAGAGAGAGAGAGAGAGAGAGTCAATTTCCCCTTCATAAACCAAAGCTGCAAAGCATCTCAGCTACCTAGTTAGCCAGAATCACACTATGAAGAGTTATGTTTAGTATAAGTTGTTTATTTTGGTAAGGGGGGAGATATAGTTTAGGTAAGGTTTATTAACTCAATTTAGTAAATGTTTACTGAAAATCTAACATGTACTAAGGATTAGGAAGTATACAACGATGAGTATGACACATCTTAGTTAAGGAAACTCAGGACAGAAAAGAGGGTAAGACAAAAATAACTACAAAAAATATAAAAATAAACTATACTGACAATATAAGGTGGAATGTGCTAAGTAAATTAAAGTGAGAATTACCTTGTCATTGAAAGAGAGAGAAAATACAAAGACAATTCTGTGGTAAAGCCAAACATACTTGATACAAATCTAGTAGATCTTATCCCTGCCTACAAACATTAGAATACCAAGATTTTTTTTTTTTTTTTTTTTTTTTTTTTTTTTTTATTTTTTTTTTTTTTTTTTTTTTTGATGCCTGGGATCAAACTCGAGTCCTTGTGCTTGCAAGGCAGATGGCAGAACCACTGAGTTAAATCCCAGCCCCACTGAGAAGCTTTTTAAGACCTACTGAAACCATCCCTTAAAGAAGGACCTAGGCTTGGCTATATTTTAAACATACTCCCCGGGTAACTGCAATGTGCTGTCAGGTTTCAGAACTGCTGACAGAATTGCACCCTCAAAGTGTCCAGATGTGGAAAGCAATCTCTAGAAATGTTAAATAACTTAACAAAGCCAGAAAAACAAAATCTGTAATTAGAACACAGAATTGTTCATTTCCTAGTCAAATGGTATTTCCATTACACCATAGTTGAGTAAAAAAGATGTTAACAAAAACAACAGATGACCTCACAGTTAAGGAACTTATTTGTGCTGTTTGACATCAGTTGTGCTACCATTTTACTCAAATATTTTTGGGTTCTGAGAAACATTTGATTTGAAAAACACTGTCCACTGTGGTTTTTTTCCCCCTTAGAACCTGTGTGTTCCAAAGTGTTGGGATAATAGTGCTTACCTTTAGTTTGTTCTGGCTTTTATTTCAGTTATTTGCAAAACTGTGTATAAAGGATATAATCTTATATTACTTTTTCTACCTTTTTATGAAATTCTTAGAAATGCCAGACTCTTGGTCGGTACTTTACTTCCATTAATGGTAGCAAGCCATGAAAAGAGTTGGAGCAAGAAGATGCCAATATTAACAGTACACCTTTACATAGAATGTCTGTGGGACCAATAGGAGTAGAGCTAGAAATAGGGACAGAAAAAATGAAGAAAACCAAATAGCTATCAGAATGAAGAGGACAGGAATGAAATTGGGCAACAGTAGAATGTTCAGCATTTGCCAGTAACTGATCTGGAACAGAAGAATGAAAAATCAGAGAACTCTACATGAACTCTGCATGGTTTGACCAAAAGAGGAACACATGGGAAGAACTACATCAGAGGAGATGTTTGCCACTGATTGGGATGTGGAGGATCTGGGCTGGGGCCGAATGGAGAGCAGTCTGCACGAGGTGAAGTAGGAGATGCTGTCTAAAATTCAAAACATAAAATTTGATGGGCTGATGCCAGAGGAAAACATTAAGGAGTTGTCTATACAGAAGTTACTGTGAAGCCAGGTGTGGTGGTGCACGCCTGTAATCCCAGCACTCAGGAGGCTGAGGCAGAAGGATCACTGTGAGTTCAAGACCAGCCTGGGCTACATAGTTCCAGGGCAGTCTCAACTACATAGTGAGACCCTGTCTCAAAAAAAACAACAAAACAAAAAAAGTTCCTGTGGAAACCATAGGGGTAGGAAAGTAAGAAAAACTACCAACTGAAGGAAAAAAAGAAAGAAAAGGAAATGAAAATACAATGTTCTGGAAAATGAGGGGGCAGTGAACTTTAAGTACAGAGTCATAAACAATGTCAGATTCTACAAATTTAGAAAAGAGATGGAACCAAGGAGGTCACTGGATTTGACAGACTTAGTGACCTTCTAGCAATTTTCAGTAACATGGTGGAGAGAAATGCCAAATGTCAAAAGCTGAAGCCATGTGGGTACTGAAGCAGTGATTATGCACTACGAGTCCAAGACATTTGGCTGCAAAAGGAAAGCACAAATAGAATAACTGAAGCAAGTAACTACAATGAGGAAAAGGTTTTATTTTCTTTTAAGTATTTATTTTCAGCAGTAGGCATATCGAGCACTTTTTGTAAACTCAGGAGAGCACATGAAAAGGGGGAAAAGTGGTTGAAAGCCAGGAGGGAGGTAAAATTCAAAGCACCACTGTTGTGGAAGGAACATAGTACCTTCCTGTGACCATACTGAATACCAACCACAAATCTTCCAGGAAAAAAATTTTTCTCTTGAACAAGTAAATTTTGCCTATGAATCAGACAAAATACAGCTCATCTAACTTCCCAAGTCTTCATCTGTGCTAGGACTGATCTGTTGTCATGGGCAGGAATTGATATCCATGGAAACAAGCCACCCAATATCTAGAGTAAGAATATTTCTAAATCTTTAGGTATCCCTATAAGCTAGAGTCGAATTTTAAGAAAATCGTTGGCTGGGGGCAGGGTTTCTTTTTTGTTTTTGTTTTTGCAGTACTGAGGTTGAACCCAGGTCCTCATACATGCTAGGCAAACACTCTACTACTGAGCTACATCCCCATCCCTCATTAATATTTTTAAAAATTTTAGGTGCTAGGGAAATAGCTCAGTGGTTATTTATCTGGCATGAGAGCACCCCTGGGATTCATCTCCAGCATCACCAGAGTGAGAGAAAAAGTTTGTATGAGGAATTTAGCTCAGTTTTGCTACCACCTGCCTCGTAAATTCAAGGTCCCAAGTTCAATCTCCGGTACAAAAAAAAAAAAAAAATCTAACGTAAGAGTTTGGAAACATCAAGGATCTGAAACAACTTCACTTTGTGTTATTGGGATCTACCTAGGAAAGTTTTGTAAAAGTCATATTGTGGATGAAAAGAGCATGGACTTTGGAGGCAAAGAGTCCTGAGTTCAAATTCTACTCTGCCATGTAGCTCTCTTGGAGTCTGCATTTCCTCATTAGAAAAATATAGGGTAGCTGGGCATGGTGGCTCATGCCTGTAATCCCAGCACCTGGGAGGCTGAGGCAGGAGGATCGCTGTGAGTTCAAGACCAGCCTGGGCTACATAGTTCCAGGTCAGTCTCAACTACATAGTAAAACCCTGTCTCAAAAAACAAAAAAACAAAATCATAATGCCAGTGTTCCGAAGTAGAGTATATAACAGGAAAGCCATGGGGTTCCCTTTGAAAGTAGAAATGGAAAATAAAGACTGTTTTGCAGATAAAACATGACCAGCTAAGTAAGGATAAAAAGAAAGAGGCTGCAGGTGATAGGAAAGGAGTGACTCATTAGGGGTTAAAACAGCTCAAAATTTTTTCTGGTACTTGGGATTGAACTCAGGACCTTGTGCTTGTGAGGCAGGCACAGTACCACTGAGCTAAGTCCCACGCCCCATAGCTCAGTTTTTAAAATGCTGAAAATGGGGCCTGGGATTTATCTCAGTGGTGCCACCACCTGCCTTGCAAGCACAAGGTCCTGAGTTCCATTCCCCAGTACCACAAAAAAAATGCTAAAAAATGGAGCAGGGACTTGGTGGTAGAGAACTTGCCTATGTGCAGGCTCTGGTTCAATCCCCAGCATTACAGGAGGTGGAGGAACCTGAAAAGGTAAAAAGCAAGACATATCTGGTCAACCTCAAATATTCTTTATTTTTAAATTAATCATATGAACAACCTCAATGGGGATATTTACATGGGTGGTTGTTTTTTATAAATAAACCTCTTCCTATTTCAGTATAGACAGGGTGACACACATATACATATATCTATCAGTATATATACACATACCTATATACAGTTGCACATATACATGTGCAAGTACCACCTACATTCTCACAAGAAAATAAACATACTGATCTGGAATCCAATACTTCCTTACATGCCTTATTATATAATGCCTATGGAATTAAAAATATTCTGCCATTTAGCCAAACACTAAAATGACACATTAACTATAAGTAATTCCAAAGCAGTGAAGTTAGAAATGCCTTGATATTTTCATTCCTTTCCTTCCAGTCATTTCAGAG